GAAAATTAAAAGAAAACCAGGAAGAAATTTATAGGAAACTGGAAAATGAGCAAGAGAGGGACAGTAATAAGGGAAGAATTAAAATAAAGAGATGTACTATTTTAAAAAAATCTGATAGAAAACAAGATTGAAGAAGTACAAAAATGTTGTAATTACGAAATAAAAGCAGTTCAGAAAGACATCAAAGAAGTACAGAGAGGTTGTGATGATAGAACTGGAGATGTACAAAAAAGACACGAATGAAGTAAAGAAAAACATCAACAAGGTAGAAAAGAGCATTAATGAGGTAAAAAAGAACATCAATGAAAGAATAAAACACCTAGAAAACGAATTATTCACCACAAAGCTTTAACTAGCCACAACTCTTTCTGCATTGACTCAAAAATTCCAATCTACAACAAAGTACACATATATACGAGAACTTATTAATACTACTTAATGAAATAAAATGGCTACTGCTTACTGCTTTTTCAAGAATTCATGAAAAAATTGTCACCTAAATTTTTTTATGAAAAATCAGTAAAAGTTAATAAATTGAATGACTCAATGATATTACTGACCCCGGGGTCTGGGCTGGTTTTCGACGCCCCTGACCAGGAGTTATTAACAATAAATCTACATCTAGTGGCTGGGGCATAGTGGAACTTTGGGATGTTCCAAAGAATTAGTTGTTGTAAGAGCTTTCGTGAATGTGAAGAATAGTGATGTCAAACATGACTTTACCCAGAGAAGCTTTAAGTTTGCTTGGGATAGAATGAAAATTTGTTATGGTGTTAATGCTAATTAAACTGGATTCCATCGAGATGGTATAGCTTTACATTCTCTGCTGCAAGAAAGAACAAAGTCAAAAGTTTAACAAGTGCTAGGAGGAGCTATATGTTCTGCTGAAAAGAATTAATAATGTGATTTACATAATACAGACGGATAGGCGATCCAAGCCAAAGGTCACCCACCATGATCGTCTTTGCATGTATTTTAGTGAGAGAACAGCCAATTGGGTCATTCCAGTGAAAATTTTAACTGGAAAATCGGACTGCTGACGAGTCTAGAGATCCTGTTAAGACAACTTCCAGGGGTAATCAAGAATAGAGTAGATTCGCTCAATCACCTAGCAAGAAGAATTCACCCAGAGATAGGATAGTCAGTGAAGACAAGGAACAAGAGGCCATCCCATATGTATACCATGAGCCTAGGAAAAAAAACCCCACCCAAATGACTTGGTGAATGGATAGTTTTGTGTAGTGCTTGATTTTTATGTTAGGATTTTCAAATAACCTTACAATCCAGGAAGTGGACAGTATTGCAAGTTATATTTTCAATACTCAATTTAAATGTTAGCTAGAGGGCGCGTGAATACCTAGAATGGTCTAGATGACGTCATGAAAATCTAGTAAGTTCAACAAATATCTAGAAGTGAGACATCAGTTAAAAATACGAGTAGGACATTCAATTAGTAAGCTAGCAGTAAATCAATGAAGCATTTGGTAATTTGTTTTTCATGGTAGAGAGAAAGTCATTCTGTGAAGTATTTACTTTCATTGAAGTGTTTGAATCAGTGTTAGTTGTAGAGTATGTTCAGTTACTCGATCGATTAGCTGTGAAATTGTACAAGCAAGTTTATTTTTACGTTAGTCGAAGTACAATTAGCGAGGCATTTCCATTTGAACGTCATTTGTAAACTTAGGCCTAGAAGCTACTCTATTGTTCAACTAAAACAACTTGTAGGAACATTAAGAGAGAAACAAACTAATTTATTATCGTCACATGGACTGGTCTTCGAACTATGTTCACCAAATAATTTAAAGAACCCTCCCAACAAAAGAACAATGCTACAACAACACTGGAAAGTGATCTCCAATGAAAAATGAACTTTTAACTTAACAAAATTTGATGATATGATAGATAGATAGACAGATAGCAAGATGTGTTGTACATGTTCATTTGGGAAGAGTATTTTATGAAACAAATACAGTGTAAAATCAAATTACCAAGTTTTCCTATTTGGCATTCATTCAACGAAGTACGAGGAAACATGACGTACGGACTTGTTTGCAAGTTGCTGCACCTCACCGTGGATATAGGTCTCGTCCCACTTTAGACACGAATATATAAGTATGCTGATGTAGATGTGTCCAGTTTTCGTTCTAAAACTTTCTCGGAAGTGCGTGACAACACACAAGGTAAGCAAATCGTAATGTCAGTTTGTTAAGCATAGATCTGAATTATTATTTTGTAAATAAATTTTCTTGTTAGTACTTACATAAAACTTGCGTTCTTTAGTTTCCAATGGCCTGAATCGTATCAGTTTAAATCCCCAAATATATTCTAGAGAGTTCTGTTTTAACTTTGAAGTTTGACTGGCATTTAGATAGTGGAAGTTTATGTAGTTCTAGCCGTTATTCATTTTATTAAGAAGAAAATAGGATAACATCCTAATAACATTTGATAACAATAAACATTTCTTTGAACTACGAGTAGCTATGTTGGTGTGCAAACTCCTTCTATGATAAAATGACATATCACTATGACATTCAATGAGGTCAAATAAAATAGAATTCGCTGCTGCACAGCAATGTGCAAACGTGGGGAAGCAGGTCAATTCAAATTTAAACCAACCAGGGTTAAAATATGATATGTTGAATGACCTGGTTAAAGTTTTTGTCACCACCAGTTCCTGTCGTTGCTAGCTACTTCTAGTAATGTTACTCTCCTGATACCAGTGATAATAGTAGTCTTTCAACCATTGCAGTCAGTTTTTAATGGTAGCAGCATTTAACAAAGGTTGCGCATTAGAAAAGCGCGAGGAATAATTTATTCTACGTGACTTGACCACACCACATCTAGTATGCCTTCCTGGCTTTGGTTTGTTTTGAATTTCGCGCAAAGCTACACGAGGGCTATATGCGCTAGCCGTCCCTGATTTAGCAGTGTAAGACTAGAGGGAAGGCAGCTAGTCATCACCACCCACCACCAACTTCTGGGCTAATCCTTTACCAACGAATAGTGGGACTGAGAGTCACATTATACCCCTCTACACACACACACACAGTTGAAAGGGCGAGCATGTTCGGCGACGGGGACTCGAACCC